ATGTGCTTTCACAATTGGGTTTGCAGGCAGAGTGAAGCCACAGAGAGCGGGGGCGCTTGCAGTATTTTTCCTCTGTCTGTCGGGCTTGGGTCGTTGGGTTTTTTCGTGAACCTGTTTATAAAAGTAAGTGTCATGATTGTGGGTTTTGGCCTCAATGAGTATGACTCACCATAGTCTGTTAGAGCAGATGCGGCTTGAGCTGCCTCCCAGTCCGGGTTTAGCAGGGCGTCCCTTGCCAGTGGGACTTGGCAAACCCAATCGCTGGGACTCTGAGCCTGCTTCTCCCAGCCCACCAGCCTTCCAGCAGCTCTACCTTAATAGCCCTATTGTTTCATAGAAAGCAACACAGAGGGATGAAGAGAGAGGACAGACACATATCCTCCCCACCTCTTACACCTGTGACTGGAGGGATGGCGGCCCTCAATTAAAATCGAGGCAGGCTCTATTGACCAGGGTCTCTGAGAGATTTGGAAGAGCAGATGGGAGTTCCTCATCCACTGAGGACCACAGAATGTCTGCTGCTGTGATACTCTGGCTGCGTGGCTTGGGCTTGTGTGGCAATCCACCTATCCTCCTCAACGAGCACAGAAATGGTGGACAAACCATGGGAATAAAACACACATCATCTTGTGGGTGAAGTACTGGTTAGCTTTTAACCACTACCTCTTATTTTTAGTGGAAAATATGACAGAAATAGCTTGGATTTCCAGTTTACCTGTGGTTGTAAAAAAAGAAACAACCGCAGCATTACCAAAGTCTTTAAATAGGACATTTTGGACTTGCATGAAAAGAAGCGCAGAAATTCTTCCTGTGGGAGGCTAATAGTCCCAGAGCTCACAGGAGTAACTTCCTAGGCAGCCAATACTCCACAATACTGTTTTTTAAGGTAGGGACCTGATCAAGGGCAACCTGCAGTGTCCGTACTGGTCTATGGCAATGGGAAGATAGAGCTCCATTGTGCCTCAGGAGAGACCTGTCTACACCGCTGCAGAGCCCCGCAACGCTTTCATTTTGAGTAGAAAAAAAAATAATATTGGAAATCTCATCCCCATAACTAAGGGGACATTTTCAGAATACCTTTCTCTGCCCCAGAAGGAGCAGCTGGTACATGTTCATCCAAAAATCCCCGTGCCCATATCTGCAAGTTCAGTCAAAACACTGTGATAGCCCAGGGGGTCACACTTGCCTCACAGCCTCTGGGGAGGGAGATGCAGCAAGCAGAGACCTGTAGTTGTGCCTGAAGTTTCTGTTTCTAATAAACTCAACAAATGGTTCCCATCTGCGTGGTCTGTCTCTCTGCCATCTTTAAATATTTATATCAACGTATCTATGGTGATAGGTCAGGTTATATAAGGCAGAAGGGAGGATGGGGAGCAGTGGGGAAGGACAGCATCAGCTCCTGCTGGAGCTCAGGCCAAGGGAGAGCAAACCTGAGCGGGCTTCCCATCCACACAGACACTCCCTCTTCTCAGATCATGGGCCCAGAAAGTGAACATTTATTTTTCTCAGGGAATCAGAAAGGGCTGGGCCACAGCTGGGCTGAGCTGCGCTTTGTGAGGTGCCATGTGGAAGAGCAATTGCCCAGCCCATCGACGCAGAGAGCTCTTATTGTATAATCAATGTATAATTCATTAGTAGGTGAATAAAGACTGGAATTGCTGATGCAATGGGGCTAAAAAGAAAGCAAGCATGTCCATGAGCAAGCTGCTGCACACGCGGGTTAAACAATACCACTTAGCGATGCCAACAGGCCAGAGCAGGGATTTTGTCTTGGGATAATATAAACAATCCAGCTAGCTGTCTTCCAGTAACTCCAGGGAGAGCAATGCAGGAATATGCATCTTTCTGGCAAAAATGCTGGGAAAGACCTTTCCTTTTTACTTGTTGGAGTTTAAGGGAATAGCATCTAGAAGACAGCAGGACATTAGCTGTTGGTTGGTGCCTCCAGGCTTCTCTGAAATTGTTTCTCCCAAGATGTGCCAATTCCTCACAGACTGAGGAGTCACCATGTATCTCTTACAGACAAAGAGATGGGTTTTTCTCCTTGACCCTCCTGACAGGGGTAGAGGTAGTTTGCAGTTTGCCTCCAGGCATAAATTTGTTTGATGGACCCCAAAATGCCAGGTGACTTAAGGTAGAAATAACTATGTGCTGGGGGTGAGAGAGCCAGCACAGCAGGGAGCAGAGCAGCTTCACCAGCAGGCCTGCAATTGGTCACGGGTTTGGCAGCTACAGCCAAAAGCTGCAAAAAACACACGGCCCATATTTTTCCAAAATAGCCTCTGAGACTACTCTGGAGCTCCCCCTCCTCACTCCTGTGATCTCCCTCACTGTCCCACGTGGTCTTACATCTCTCAGTGGACAGGGCTGATGCTCGCTGCCAGTTGCTCATTCTCCCAGAAGACAAACTACACAGTTCAGAAAGAAATCACTTTTCGCCCCAAGATAGCGTTTTACTAACAGACAGAGCTGCAAGGACCCTTCATGTGAAAGTTGCAGGCTATGTGTGATCCAACTGTGCATTCACAGCAGCTTCTGACCTTACCTCCTTTCAGCTGTGCTGGCAGAGATCTATGTGGGGCATCTTCCACCTCTGGCTGCATTTCTAGAGGAGAATTATGTATAGCCAGATGCTTTTGCAAATGCATTGCTCCTGCACCTGGTTAGAAAAACATATGTCTATTAACTATTACTTCCAAAAATATCTCGTGTGTCTGCAGCTCATAAACACAGCTTTACCTTGGCAGGAGATGTCTTCCTTACCGCCCCCAGCATACAAAGATCCACGCAAATTTGCCACCTTCTAAGGTTTTGGAAGGACTTGCTCAGCAGTGTCTCCTCTAGGAGCTTGCTGCAGGCATGAATCCAAGCTGCACAGCAAAGGGGCTGTTGCATGAGGAAGTTGTATTTTGAGGACAGTGGGAACTGGCAGACACACAGTCAATAGAGCAGGAAATAGCAAACCATTTTGTAGCTGAGACAGCACATCACGAGGCTGAAAGATTCTCACTCTCACCACTGAATCCCTCTAGAAAGAGTATATTGCTTAACCCGTGCTTTTCACAAGTGCTCTGAACTCCTTGGGTTTTTTTTATGAATACTGAAAACCTTTATTTGCAGAAGCCCCAGTCATCCTTGGCTGCTGTGCAAAGCTGCACACTGCCCACCTGCAGCTCTGCCTGAGCAATGCATTGAAAAAGCATCATGCACTGCTGTCAGAGCAGGTGCTGGGAAAGCGCCTCTACCTCATAAGCAAGCTATGGTCAGGCTACCCAGGAGCACGTGGCAAGCCCCACAGAAGGCCTCAGGGGAATTTGATGTTCATGTTGGCAGAGCAGGACCTGAGCAGTGCAGGGGCAGTGAAGGGTGGAGAGCAGCACAAAAGGCTTCTTGCTGCTGCCACGGACTGATGCTCCCTGGCCCCATAGGTTTATAGGTAGCCCTGCAGGTTTATGGGTGCCCCCACAGGCCAGAGCAACCTGGCCTTAGGTTGCTCCCTCTTCTGATATAGAGTCCTGAGATAGAGCTGGAGGGTTGCCTAAAGTAAAAGGTTGTCTAAAGTAAAAGCTCACAAAAACACATACTCATAAGGAGGCCAAACCGCAATTGCTCAGATGACCTTAGTGGAAATAACTGATAATTGCTGCAGCTTAACTGACAATTAGCTGAAGCCAATTCACAATTAATATTTAACTTTGTGCCTTCTTTCTGTACTTTTTTTTTTTCTCCTGCATATGCCTACATAAATGGGATTTCTTTCTTATCAGAGTGTGTGTTGACATGCTTTATAACAAACAGCTTCCGCCAGAGCAAGCCCCAGGAAGGTTCACTGCTCTGCAGGTGTTTCCTAGCCTGGCTGCCAGCTTGCATTTCCAATGCTCAGCTCCATGCTCTTCTCCCAGCAAAATCTCTCTCTTGCTCTTCTCAACACTGTGTAAATCTTGGCACTGCTTAAAAATAAGTTCCAGGGGTTTTGCTCTGGTTGCACAAGAGCTGTATTTCATCCCCAGCGAGCAGCAAACTAAGGACTAGTAAGTGTAAGAACATTCATTGTAGGACAGGGACATTTTGTGGGCAGAGGTGTAAAAATACTGTTTAACACTCACCCACCTCGCAGGTTCCATCCAGCCATCTCTGCGTGCTGCCACTTCTACAACTGTGAAAAAAAAAGTTAACGCTGCACATTTCTGTAGTGGGTCTCTAAAATTCAAGGAGCTGAACATACCTGCTTTTCTGCTGCTGAAAATTACAGCAGGATGCCATTGCAGGGTGGCAGGAGTCCCTGCTGCTACATACAACACTAGCTCTGGGAGAAGAGCCTGTCCAGCTGGGCATGGCTCTGTCACCTGCTCATTGAAGGTGCTCCTCCTTGCAGGGGAACTCCAGTGAAATGGGAATAAAGCTCATGAGAGAGCCAATGGCCATCATATATATGCTACTCCTGTCCTATCCCCTTACATTAAAAACTGATCTGGGAAGGTGGAGTACCTCAAGCTTTAGCAATACTGGTGGTGAAGCTTTAACAGAGATCTTTTCTATCAGATGAGGCTTGAGCAGGTAACCCACATCAATAACATTGACTCCACCAATTTGTTCATCTGCGATGTTTTTTGATATGGCAGAATATCAGCAGTTAAATGGCCAATGCAGTGCAGTGGGCAAGACCTGACTACGTAGTCTTTAAAAAAGTGAAATCATAGAGATTTCTTCCACATAAATACTCTGATCTTTATAGCTTAAACATATCCTTAAGCTTTTTTCCTCCCTCTGGTTGAATTACTCCCTGACAGGTACCTGCCTGGTGCCCCTTCATCTGGCCAAGGGTAGGATGAGGTGGATGAGCTGCTGCTTTTCCTCCAAAGGACCAACACCATCCTCTCCTCCAGCATACAGCTGGGACAGGCAAGCACCAGCTGCCTGGGGAATATCTCTTCCCAGCACCGAAAAAATTACTGAGTGCCCTCCACCATGCAAACCACCAAGCAATGCAGACAGCCTCATATGTGGCAGAAAGAGAGAAGGAATGACAGCTTTCCCAAGAAATTCATCTTTATTTAAGCAACCATGAGTCACATGAGCTGCCAGCTGGCCTGAGGAATAACAATAGCAGTGGCCTGGACAGTAGCAGTTCGAGCTCACAAGGGAGATTGTCTCTTTCCAGAGAAGATACATGATAGTACATATACAAGAGAATATTTTCTCACCACTAGAAAGTTAGTGTGCTGTCAAGTGCATATCACCCCTAAATCCCTGCCAGACTTAGGTGTGGTGGCGACTGTCAGGAGGTAGCTTGAGTACTACACTGGAGCAGTGTGAACTGGATCCTGCTTCCACTGAAGTCAATGGTGAAGCTCCACTCGTCCCAAGGGATTGGGCTGAGAAGCAATAGCCTGTCCTCACTCCTTCACAGTGCAATTTTTTCTAACACAAGGTATTTGCAGTCATGTTAAAATGCCAGCCAAGTGCTGTAGGATGTCCTGCTGTTCTTGCCTGTGTAGTAGCCCCTGCCTGGGCGGCAGCAGCATGAGGGGTTTCCATGTTTATCTCATACACAATTGCTACTTATCGTTTTTCACAGCTAAAAGCCACTACATAGAAGAGGAGTAAAAACTACTGTTGGATCAACAGACATTTCATGCAGCCATAGAACTTACAGCAGGTGCTACATCCATTGCAATGATGGGTTTCAGCTCAGAAGCAGCTCTGCCTCCTCATGCGGGCAAAGCACGACAGGGAGCCTTTTCTTTCAGGCAGACTGACAGCCTTTTTTAAGTTCTGTTTATTATTGATAAGAGTGGTGCAAAGGGGATGTGGAGTTGGACTTTGTAGCTTTTGACCTGGCTGGAGATCAGTCCTGTTCTCTTATAGATTTAAACTTCTGCGTGTATGTGTAATATCGAAGTCCTTTGGCACACAGCAGCGCGGTGGGTTAGGGAAGCCAAATAAAACAGAGCTGGGGCTGGAAGCTGAACAAGCCCCTGTGAAATCAGTGTGTCATCAAGCTCGAGGAGGTTGACTAAATCAAGAATTAAAAAATAATGTTATATTGCATTATTAAGGAAGAACAACACAGGAATGTGTCCTTGTGCTGGTCAATTGTTTCAAAGCTCATGCACTACTTTCTGATTTTCTTTCTGATCTCTGGCAACGTCTGAAAATAGGGGAAAAACAACTGACCATCACTGGATGCCTACATACTCCAGCGTGATCAGAAATGTGTCCAAAGTCAATCCTTGTGAGTGACCAGGCTGGAAGAGCAAATTTCCCATCAGTGATGACACACTTTGTGTCCATTTGTTTACCGATTGCACAAGATTGATCCTGGGCTGCGATCCAAAACCATCTTCCTAGAAACATTGCATCTTTGGGGGTCACAGGAAATTGCTCAGATGACCGTCATTTTTGCTGGTCTTCTCTCTCCATTTTTGTTCTAGGGGATCTTCATTTCCTACTTGTGGAGCTACAGCCCCTACATCTCCCGGCAAGGGAATCTGCATCTCCGAGCCCAGGTGCCTTGTCTGTTTGAGGCAAAGATGTGGGACTTCTACTCAGAGCATCATCCCCTCTGGCCAGCTTGGAAATGCAGGACAGCTAGTAGTGCAAGAAAGGGAAACATGTGACACATGTCCCACCACCCAACCCCTGCAACACCTTCCTCAGGGGATTTTGTGGGTGAATTCAAATATTTTCCTGTGCCAAGAGCTGGATCTACCTGGTAGGGATGCCCAGGCATCAGGTTTCTACCTCTCTCGCAGGATATATTTGCCTTTCCGGTCCAGATTGCTGCTGAAGTGGATGGAGAACCAGAGGAATGAAGTTAGGATCATCCCATAAACCTAAAATGAAATAAAGAGACAGGCATACAACTAAGTGTATAACTGATTATGATCCTCCATCTGGGCAAATAAGCAATCATAGATGTTGCATTTGGCCATTTGGCACTTCTGAATTATGTATCAGGGTGTCACATTTTTCTTTAGAGAGCTATTTTTCAGTGAAGTGGTGAACACCAATTCTGACATGGGAGAAGAAAAAAAAAAAAAAAGGCAGCATGTAGTTAAAACATCTGATTCGAATTAGCACAGCGTAGCTCAAACCCAGCCCTCATACCAAGAAATAAGATGAAACCAGGAAATTCAGATTTCAAATTCCTGCCATACAACATTCCTCTGTGCAAACAAATGTATCTCTCTCATAATAATAGCCTTTTGTAAAGATACCATGAGGGGAAAAAAACCCCACACACATGTTGTTTGGAGTAAAAAAACCAACAAAACAAACAAACAAACACCTAAACCAACTACAAACCCCACCTCACACACCTGTATAGTTACGAATACAGAGGACAGTGTGCTTCCTCTCTATTGTGATATTCTGCCCGATATATCACACACCAGGATTTACACAGGCAACATATCAAAGGTAAGGCTTCTGTGGGAAGGATAATGAGGGCTTTAACAACATACTCTTTCCTAAAGTATGCCCTAATGTGCAAGTGCCTTTGCTTGCAGCTTGATCTGGGAACATGTGTGCACTGTTGGATGAGGGACAGTGACATCAGAGCAGCTATAGCCCTCTTCACGTGCTTCCTTTGCATCCTGCCATCACAATAGTTAACCGTGCAGTGAAGTTTCCTCTAGCACAAGCTTCAAAGACAGCCGCCTTATCTGGTTATGGCATCAAGCTGTGAAAAAAGGATACATATAACAAAAATGCTCCTGCTTTTATCTGAATATAGCTGCAGTGAAATTTTCCCTATAGCTGAGAAAAATTGGAAAGTGACACCAAATATTCACATGTGACTTTACATTTATAGCTCCAAAGCAATGCCTGATGGTTTGCTTAAGTTACTGCTAGCAGTATAAAATTAAAAAGTGTTTGTTCCTCTGGGGTTTTTTTAGGTGGACAGGAATCTTCTAACCCATAATTGCGCCAAGGTGGACACAAGGAATAAAACGATCTTCAAATACACTTTCAGTCAGGAAAGGTCATCCCATCTGGGGATTAGCATGCAGATATCACAGCAGACCAAACTGCCCTTCATGGTGAAGAAATGAGTCTCCAGCCACATTCTCTTTTCTGGTGTGCAACACCACACACACAGAGTGCTTGCGTAATTACAGTGGTACACAGTGATACACCTCTGCCAAGCAGTGGGTGGACATAAAAGCAGGCTGTCTTTAATTAGTGATCCTCTCCAGCTCCAGAGAGACTGCTCCCATGCAGCCAGTGAGCTCCCCCATCGCTGAAAGACATGCCCCTCTTGCAGCATTTCATTTTTCCTTTTGTCCTCCTTCAAATAACATGCAGAAATTCAGTGCACATCCTTTATAAACAAGCCATCCTGCAAAGATTATTTAACCCCTCCTATGCAAGATTCTCCTTCAAAGACAGAACCTGGGAGCCCAGACAACATGCTCTGCTCCTTTCCTTTGCATCCTGCTCCTTACAAGCCCATGATTCATCTCACTGCCTGAGATGAACCCTAGTGGGTTTGTTAGCAGTCATTATTAAAAGAGACCTTCCCTTTCTGCCCAGCTCTCCAGCTCCACTGCTGGTGCTCAGTAGCTTTCAGGACCTTCCAGCACTAGCTGCACCAAGCGACTTCCCAGGCTGAGCTAGTAAACAGCAAGTTTCCTAAAATATAGAGCTTTTACTGCATCTCCTTTTCTACCCCTGCTGCTGGCTTCCTACCTGATCCACAAGCCCCCAGCCAGGTGACATGGCCCCTCACTCATGTGAGAAGATACACAGGCAAGCCTGAGTGGATGAAATGCAACTGCTGCTGCATCCTGCTCCCCAGTCTCAGCTGCCATGCCTCATTTGGGCAGAAAAACTGTGCGATGAGCCTATTCCTGCAGGAAAACCACTCCACTGATTAGCCTGGCCAAGAGATGTCCTCGCCCTTTCCATAGTGGAGTCCACAACTGCTTGTTTCTCTGCTGCTGGTCTCCAGAATCACCCAAAATCTTTGATTTTTGGGGGTAAATTAGGATAGCTTGCTCCACTGGGGCCTGCCTTTCAGGGGCCAAAATGCAAAAGGACAGACAGTGTTACCGTGAAGCCAATGGCGATGCCCAGGAGTGAGAAGACCAAGTCCATGTGCTTCTTCAGAAAGTCCTGGATCTCTCGTAGGCAGTCCTGGGAAGAGAGAGACACACCTTGCAGCACACCAGCAGCTTAGTAGGTAGTTTCGGACCTCCAACACCACTTGCCACAACCCCAGAGAGGGGGGCAAGAGAGAGGCACAGCATTGCACAGCTGGGTATCTCTCCCTTTTTCTACTGCTGCTATTGCAGCTTGGGAAGACAAACACCTGTGGTACATTTTCTATTACTACAACATGCCTATGATTTTCTTGATGTGATGCATTTTGGACTGTGGGGGATGTGTCTGTAAGTGTGGTCATGAAAAAGCTTTTTTCTTTTCACCCACTGGAAAATGAAAAGAGAGAAATGGAAAGATGGAAAAGCAGAGCACATTGTGATGCTAAATGCATTCCCCAAGGTTACTCACGAACAGCTCAATCTTGCAAGGTGCTGCAAGCATTAGTATACATTAGTCTTAAGCATGCCAGTGACCCCACAAAAATCCAAGAGGTGTTAGCCAAGAGACCCATTTCAGAAATGCAAGAGTCTGCCCTTGATGAAGCAATTTGCAGAGCGAGGTAAGAGTGCCCAAAGCCAGGAGTGAATGTAGCGCAGCCACTAAACTCTGGTTTCCTGTGTTACAAAGCACATTCTCCCACCCACTTCCCCAGCTCCCAGGCAAGGGAAACACAAACAACTAGGCAGGAGGAATGGAGTCACCCATACGGTGCCCAGCTTTGTTCTGCTCTCCCTTCCTGCTCTTTGAGCTGAGTTTGACCCCGTCTGGAGATGTGACGTTCCCGGAGGGAGTGCTTTGAAACACTGCCCTGCGGGCTGATACGTGCCCGCACATCACAGTGTCCCGTTAGAGCCTGACATCTTCATCTGACAACAATGTAATTGTATTGCTGTAGCAACATACTTTTAGTTTTCCTAGAGACAGCATATACTGATGCTGGTGGCATTAGATACTTCAGCTACTATTATTTGGCTACTCCATTGGAAGAAAAATAATTGTAAAATAGGTTCACTCAGAGAGTATGGAGTCGAGATTGCAGCTTCAGTGCAGAACAATCTCATACTGGTGGCTTCTCCTGCAGCCTCACTGAGATACTGCAAAAGAGGATGAATGTAGTGTACTTGATGAAGCTACTGCTGGGTATCATCATCCTGCTTCACGAGTTTCTCATTTGAATAACTATTTAATGCCCCGGGAAAAAGGAATAACATGAAATTCCACATTGGCTGTTAGTAGAACACATTTTAAGCCTCAGAAACTAGTGTCAATTTGGAAAAGCCAAAGAGTTTTTTTGCCCTCAGACACGCGCCCATGATACCTCACACTATCTGTGTGCACTGGAGATGAAGAGGAGGCTGGAGGGAAGTGACAAGCTGCAAACACAAGCATTTTTAAAGCTTTCTAGAACTGCAAAGGAAACTGTATCTGCGAGTGTATGACGCACCCCACCGAGGCTCCTCTTCCTAATTCACAGAATCATACAGTCATAGAATGGTTTGGGCTGGAAGGGACACTAAAGATCATCTAGTTCCAACCTTCCTGCCATGGTCAGGGACACCTTTCACTAGACCAGGTTTCTCAGAGCTTCATCTAGGCCTAGCCTTGAACACTTCCAGGGACGGGGCATCCACAACCTCTCTGAACAACTTTTTCCAGTGCCTCACCACCCTCACAGTAAACAAATTTTTTCCTAATATTTAATCTAAACCTACTCTCAGTTTGAAGCCATTCCCCCCTGTCCTATCACTACATGCTCTTCTAAAAAGTCTCTCTCAATCTTTCTTGTAGGCTCCCTTCAGGTACTGGAAGGCCACAGTTAGGTCACCCCTAAGCTGCCTCTTTCCCAGGGCTGAACAAACACAATTCTCTCAGCCTTTCCTTGTAGCAGAGGTGTTTCATCCCTCTAATCATCTTGGTGGTCTGCTCTGGACTCGACTCAAGAGGCTGATGTCCTTCCTGTGCTGGGGACCCCAGAGCTGGATGCAGCACTCCAGTGCTGCGTCGTGTTGTTATTGAAAGAGCAAAACCACAACAAAACAAACCCTAACCCATTTCAACCCCAAACCATGGAAAAGCCACAATTCTCATTAACACTTTAACTGCAGTGAGGTTTTGACAGATAGCAAGTAGAGGCACAACCCCCCTGTGGGGAGGGAGAAACTTTTACCTTACCTGTCCCGCATCGTGCACCTGGCCAGGTGGGCATGTCTTGTGCTCAACATTGGTTGTGTCCCCAAAAGGAGAGTGCTTCCCACAGCACAGGAACTGGAAGAGAGTGAGAAGTCTTGCCAATCAGCTGCCAGGGCTCTCCCCTCACCATCAGCTGCTGCAGCAGAAGGTGTCAGCAATGGGCCACCATTCCTCCCTGTTGCCCAAGGCAGGGCTACCCAGCTAGGGCAGCAAGGAACAAAGCACGTAGGTATGGAAACAACAGCTGCAGCTAAATTCAGAGGAAGTGGGTGGATTTGGCCCCAGTCTTGCTCATGCTCTTTCAGGACTGCTGCCTGGGACTGGGGCCAAGCCCTCCCTCCATGGTCACAACCAAAGCTCGCAGTGGCTGCTTTGGAAAACCCAGGGATACATAGACTCATGTTTCCAGTGATTGTTATGGGCTGGGGGGATCCCCAGCAACACCCACTGTGGAGCTGGTTTCCTATAGCCAAGGTGCACTGTCTATGGAGTAGAAGAACTGTTTCTTCATCAATTAAAGAGTCTAAAATGAACAACTGCCAAAGCCTGTTTCTCCCTGGTTCTCCTTGTCAAATGAGACTCTGGGTGTGCTGCTCCACAACCCTGAGGGCAAGCACCTCCATGCCTGGTCATGGCTCTGAGGGCCACCACCATTGCTGCAATGAGAAACATCTGCCCTCCTCTGCATTCTGAGAAGCATGGATAGAAGTAGCTTCGGAAAGTACTTGTTACGATGATTTAAGAAAACACAGAAAGACAAAGGGAGTTGTGTGGGAGGTGTCTGAAAACAGGCAAGCAGAGCTGACCTTCCCATCCAGACTTGCTGTGTACCATGAACTCACTACCCAAACAAGCCCTGCTGTGCAAGGGAGGCGGCATCTCCTGTACTCAGCAGGGACTCATGAGTTTCTCACCATGGGGGACATCCTCACTCATCGCCTTTGGCTTCAAGGGCAAGCATCCTCACTGTGCTCTGGGTAACCACCCTTGCACACCTACTGAGCTACAGAGAAAGCCCCTACGCCAACAACTTCCTGGGCGGTGGTTTTTGCGAGCTTGATAGCAGTTAACAGATCTGTAAAAGGCCATGTAGCCTCCAGTACTCCTCAGCCACAGGCTCAAGGGTAAATAGAGATAACCAACTCCAAATACTACTGCTAGACTATGTAGGATTCCTGCCCCTCCTCTCTACTTGACCAGGTGTACACCCACATTTTTTTACCACAGACAGGGAGCAGGGCATAGGGCAGGCTGAGACAGACAATACATGTATCAGCTGCAGTGTGAAAGTTTTGTAGATCTTGCACCACAGTGATGCTCTGATAGATGACCCTTTCCTCCTGTGGATAATCTGGTTGGTCAGAGCTGTGAAAGTAAGAATAGGAAGGGAGGAGCAGACTCCACAGCATGCTGGAGGACCTGGTTCCTCAGGGAAAATGGCATTGCAGCACCCACAAGGCAAAACACAGGTGTCAGCCCCAGCCTGCCAAAACTATTGTGAAGATATCCCAGGGCAAGGTTTTCTGCTGCAGCTGAAAGACAACTTACTGCTTTGTGGATGGCAGTCAACTCGTGCCTCCTGAAGCTGGAGGTGTTCCTCCTCACCTCCTCGTACACAAAATCATACACATCCATCATGCTGTCTTCCACCTGCAATGAAAGCAGAGATCTGAGCATGCAGAACACTGATCACAGTCGTCTCTGGAGGGAATTATGCTCTTCTTGCATTCCCCCAGAAGCTCTCCCAGGTACAGCAATACAAGCAGTGCAGCTATTAAATGAACCCCACAGCAGCGGGAGCTGGTGTATGACCCACCACGCACGAAGGGGCAGCTATGACATGGTGAGTCCCATGAGAGAGGCGGTGGCACTGCAGGTGTAAGACCTTCTGCCGTGCGTGGACCCTTCAGCATCATGCTGGGGCCTCACCAGCTGATCGATGGAGCTTTTAGCTAGTTTGGGATTTAGTGTCAGACAAGAACTCAGGTACCTGTGACCAGTGTTCCTCTGAGTCCCTCTAGCAGGCAGGGGTAATGCCATCTCCCTGTCCTGATGAGAGGGCTGTGAGGACAGGCACACACAACCAAGAGATGCTAAAATACAAAGTCGAGAGGACCTCAGAGGGCTGGTGTTATCCCAGTGACAGAGCAGTTTTTCCAAACAGAGCCAAAAAAATAACAGGAGTGATTCAGTGGTGAGTCAGACCCTAAATATTTACCAAACGTGTGAGAACTTGCAGCTTGACAGATCCCAGCCAACTCCCGCTCGAGTGTCAAAGGGAAAAAAATATGACAATTGCCTTCACTGCCTGCAGTCAAAACCTTATTTCTTCCTTTCCTTCTCCCTTACTTCTTCAGGAACACTGATCTGAGTGGGCCTGCATGCAGTGTTTGGCTTTCAGGAGGGAAAATCCGTGGGTGAGACAGGCATAGCTGGTGCCTGCACAGTGAAGGATGGGCACTCCAGGAACAGAGCCACCCCTCAGTGAGGCTTTGCACCTCAGTCTTCTGAGCCAAGGAAAAAATCCTCCGCAGAAAAATCCTCCGCAGAAAAGCTGTTCCACACAGGTATGGAGGGAGGATGTTCATTTTGTCCCCTCTGTGTTTCAGAGTGCATCAAGTGGAATGACTGCAGCAGTAAGACAAGATCTCTTGCAGGCTTCTGCATCAACCTTCCCCTGAGCAAACCTTAAAACCCAATACAAAGGAAAACATCCAAGCTTTACTAACTTCTTGAGGCCATGAAGCAGCTTTCCAGCAGCTGCAATTAGATTAATGGATTCAATAATAAGATCGTCCATTTCCACTGAAGAATTGGATTAAGAAAAATGAAGAAAGAATAATCTTTTGACCTCCTCTTGTGGAGGAAGGAAGAACAGAGCAGCTGGCTTCTTAACCCAAGAGATTACTACCTTTTGAATATCACAACCCCAGTCTAAGATTCAGGAATAAAAAGTGTTTTGTGCTGTGACAACATACATATGGGTTTTGGCAAAGTAACAGTGCTGCATGTACAATTTCTGCCTTTTAATATTTATCATTAGGCTCAGGATGCTAAGCTTTCCTCCAAAAGACCTAAATTTGGATGACTTTAAAAAAAAGTTAAAAAAGGGTTCAAGCAAACTAGCTGCTAGGTTCAAGCAAGAGTTCAAGGGTTAAAAGCTATCCAGAAGTTTAACTACTTCTAAAGGTCTCTTGAAGTCTGGGACAGAAAATGTTTGGACAGGTAGTTTTAAGTCCTCTGCCTTGGTTGGGCACATTCCCCAAAACCTTGTGAAAAATATCAAAAAAAGTTGTGTTCACTACAGTGAGTTTTGGGCTGGGTCTTGCTGCTGACTCTACAATTATATTCAACTTAAACCAAGGTAAGATGAGACTTTGACCAGTGATGTTTCAACTACAAAGACCATCACAGGCTCCCCTGCAGCAAAGTAGTCTCTGACCATGCCACCAGAACCAATTCACTGTGCAGGAAAGTCAGTGTTCATTTGTACTTTGTGCTGATAATAAACCTCACCAACCACGGCTGATGTCCTCCTCTGCAGCCTCTCTGGTGGTCATGCTGCACTGAGTAACCTGTGAGGAGGGCAGGATTTCTGCCCAGATGTTGACAGCTGCTGATGAGCTCCTGTCAGCTGCACAAAACCCTGAAAGGATCAGTTTGATCAGGAGAGGTACTGCCTGATACAGTGGTGCATGTTTGCACCCTCCTTATTATCTCAGGTACCATACAACGATGTCCAACATTGAGACTGAGAGTGTTTGAAGGATGAGAGTGGATAGGAAAGAATTTGGAGGAACAAGATGTCCATAACAAAACTATGACAGAAAAGTAATCCAGTTGTTGGAAACAATAATGGAAGAAACCGCAAGCAGTCACCATTTCACAGCCGGTTCAGCTACAGTGATGGTGATGATGATGGTAATCTCCAAGTACATAATGACTACTAAAGACTTCAATTGCACCATTTCTGAGCTTGCTTGTGAGCTGACTTCTCAGTTATCTATTATTTTTTTTATTTTCATTTTGTCAAGTAGCCTCCAAAACCTGAAAACACAAGGGACTAAATGAAAAATATGTAATAGCAATAACTTCCTCTAAGAATGTGTGTCTGGTCAAGCCTAAGAGTACAATTTGCTGATTAGTCATTCTCAGCATTTCTGTCTAGCAATTATATCTAGCATTTACATCCAGACATTATCTGAATTTGCTATTCAGATCCTAGTAAGGGAATATCAAACTATAAAACCATTTCTTAAAGAGCGAACTTCTTGTAGTTCCTCCACATCATCTTTTTGATTTTTGCTAGGATCATTTGCTTTTGGAGGGAAAAGCTGCTCTTTTCATACAATACAGTTGTTTGTTTTCTCATGTAAATATTCCAGAGGTAGGTATATAAAAGTACTAAATCTCAGTATTTATCATTGTCTGTTTCCTTCTCTGCAGAAGACAGTGTATGAGAGGTCTGGTTTAATAAGAGAAGACTTAAAAGTTCAAAACATTGCACTTTGCTGCCTGGAATGGGGTTATGTTTATACTCAGAGCTGCAGCCAAGCTCTGAAACACCGGTGATGCATGGCAGCATCTATCTAGCCCAAAATGTTGTGCTAACTCAAGCATGCCTGATGATGTAAAAAATAAAACCTGAAAGCGTGAGACAGTCACCAGGTGGTTTCATGACCTATCCTTATTTGCAACATTGATTCATCCAGCAGACGCAAGTTCATCCCTATATTTTCCTTTGATCCAGGACCTAACACAGTGAAGATCTAGACTGCAGCACTGCTTTCTATCCTCAATTGCCATCCTCAACAGATTCCATTGCACACTCCAATGATGGGCAACTTTGATTCCATTGCCTCAAGACAATTTTCTTTTTCTGTGTTGGAGAAAAAAGAATACTAAAAGTAATCAGGATGCTTTTTCTCATGGTTAAGGATACCTTTTGAGTGCTTACTCTGATATTGTTAATAACATGCTTTAAGACAAACACCCATGTCCTACCCCTTAAAGAGTACTTAGCATGTAATGGACCAATACAGCTGGAGAAGAGAAAGTCCATTTGGGCTTCATTTTGAAAGGTCTTACACTCCTCCTCCCACACATAACTATCATTATGGTCAAGTGTGTTTTCCTGTTCCTAGTGACACGTTGTGACCCACTGCTGGAGGAGTTCTGCTGGACAAGCTCTCCCTTGGAAGGAGACTGCACCTGCAATGCTCATCAGTAAGAAACACCAAGAGCTGAAGATAAAGCATCAGCTGGGCTTAAGAAAAATCTCCAGGTTAAGTGATATGGAGGTCACACCTCACAGTAATTCTTTTCCTGGAAGAAGCTGCGTGAAATGTTCCAGCTCTAAATTAGTTAAATAATTGCTGCCTCCCACTTCTATCCGCATTCCTTAATGAAATATTCATTTAGGGATGATATCGATGGGTTGCTGGATATAACAAATGGAAAATCACCACCGAGATTGATGCAGCTGATTCCAGCTGACTCAATAAGTAGCATTTTTCACTTAAAGAAAAAAGAAATTTTGACATTGTTTATCATCCTTTACATCCTTTATCCCCCAAGAAGCAGAATTTATGGTGCAGGAAGACATGTACTCTAAGCCATTAATGTTCTTACCCTTGGCTATTAAAAACTAAAGCAAATTTCAATCTTACCTCCTTTAAGAGGAAAACTGACATTTTTTACTTAGGTTATTTATCAAGGATAATTTGTACCTGTAACTGGATTTGGAACAGAAACAAAAGACAAGAAGGTCCACCTTCAGTTCCCAATCCCTTTGCAAGTCAAAGGTACCAATGAATCCCCATCCTGCTGCCAATGAATACCCCTGCCTAGGCAACCTGAGAGTATTGCTCAGATGGAAACTAATGCAGACTTGTGCCAAGAACAAAGATCTGAAACCCCGTGAACCATTTTTGCAACTGTTGTTGGCCAAAAATCCCTCTACAAAGCAGAAGATCAAGGAGAATATAGTGAAAGGAGATGTAAGGATTGTCTCAAAGACAAGCCCACCTTCCTCCCTTCTGATAAACAGGAACAGTCTTGACATGGCCAAGAAGGAAGACAGCTCAAGGACAATAATACCGAAAGGAGCTGTCAGAATTATCTCAGAGACAAGGCCACTTTCCTCCTTTCTGATAAACAGGAATGCTCATGATGCGGCAGAGGAGGAAGACAAGCATGGGAACCAGGACGAGGATCCTCTGCTCCTGTGGGTCCTTGTGCCTTTGAGTAACCAAACCAATCAATGCAGTGCAGCCTCAGAAGAATCTGCAATCTCAGCACTTCACGTTCTTTCAGTGCCTCCAAGAATGATGTACTCACTGGCATCACTCAGAAGTGTCCCTGCAGTGGTGGCTACCGCAGACTGCCCCACTTAACTATGAACTGCAAGTTAGTCAGTTAAGATGTGAAACTGGAATAAAGTGGTTAACTCACTCAAAATCCTTCCTTGTTCCAGTAAGAAAAACACTTCTGCATCTTGTTGTCTCTGCCTTTCCTTTCCTCCCTGGTGTGCAGAAGTGCACGTGTTCACAGCATGTCAGAAATAGGGAGGAGGCAGAGGCAACAGCTTGGGTTTGGGCAAAGCAATGCTGCAACTTCAGTGAAACAGGAGAGAGAAAGCCAGGCTGGGT